TTAGCCCTGGCTGGGAATTGCTGCCAGTAGGGAACCTTTTTTACCATGTTAGTAACAAATCTGTTCCTAGAATCATAGAATCAGCTGGGTTGGAAAAGATCTCAAAGATCATTGAGTCCAACCCTAGTTGACACAATTCAGATTTTTATACTCTGTTGTGGCTTCTGCCTGACCCAGAAGTCATGACCTAAGGAAAAGTCCACACTCCTGGACAGCTTGAAGGGCAGAGAGGCATGAACACTCAGTATGCTAGGGCCAGGGAGCTCCAGAAGCTGCAGGTGGTACATTGGTGCTCATAGAAGGATGCTCAGGGTCTTCTTCCACAACCAAGTGTCAGCTGCTCCTTCAGAGCACCCAAATGTCCCGGACTGCCTTGGCTCTTTGGGCACCAATTTGTTGGTGTCCTAACACAGCTTGGGATATGTGGTTTTCTGGAAGCCTTTGCTCCTCTGGAGCTGAGAAGTGTTTTGGAGGACAAAGTGGTGTGAGGCAGTGGTGGATTGGAGGTTTTAATAGCCTCAAGGTAGGGGTAAGAACAAAAAAATTCACCCCAGAAGTAACCAAACAACACAGCTCCTCTTTGCCTTCCACACAACTCTGTTGCTTCGGGGAGGAGGGGAAAGAGGAGTTCAGGGCACTGTGCATGACCTTTGGGGAAGCAGTTGATGGATTGCTAAATTGCTGTAAGTGTGTTGTGCTTCTGCCTATGTATCCATCACTAGGAAATCGTGTCAAACCTTGCTTAAAAGTATTACAAAGCTAATCCTCTTTGTTCCAATGATGAGATGCTTTGGGCCGTGGAGTCTGGGAAGCATTTTGGCTGTGTAGGTGTTGATGAAGTGAGTGCTGAAGGTTTCTCCATGGCTGTGATGCTTCAGAAGCCTAAGTGGGAGCTCATTTCTGGCTTGATCTACTTCACAAACTCTTCTCTGTATCATGTACATACACCCAGACCTGCAGCTCCTGCAGGGAATGTTTACATTCAGAACAAACTCAGTTTTGGTGGCTTTTTCCTGTGCTGCTCAGATCCTCTTAGATGGAGCTGAAAGTAAGCTCTGTTAGGAAGTTTTCCTTTGTCTTTCACCACTTCCTCCATGATCAGTTTCCTCCTGGATGGTGGCTGGAAACTCTGGGACAGTTGTGCTCTCCTGGAGGAGAATGTTGGAAAAAAGGTGCTTTGTAAAGATGTTTTGGGTGGTGGGCTGAGCTTTGTAGGTTCTGAACTTCCTTGGAAAACAGCAACAAATGTGCTTCAAACTGAAAATTTGCCTTTGCCCTTCACCACATCCTCCATAACCAACTCTCTCCTGAATGGTGGCTGGAAGCTCTGGGACACTTGTGCTCTCCTGGAGGAGGATGTTGGAGAAAGGTGGTTTGGAAAAGGTGCTGTGAGTGGTGGGATGAGCTTCGTAGACTCTGAACTTCCTTGGAAAACAGCAACAAATGTGCTTCAAACCCAGTAGACATTGGTGACCTGCCTTGCAAGCTCTCTGGGAAGCCTTGGAGTTGCACTTCCCAGCATCCATGCTTGTTTCCTTCCCAAGCTGATGAATGTCCTGCTGTGCTCTCTGCAGCTCCAACCTTCTGTTGGCTAATGACTGTAAATACAAGCCTCCTGCTTAAAGACTTCCCTTGCCATGAAGTGGTTTGGATTGCTCTGTCCTGCCAATGCCTCTCCTCTTCCATACTTCATCCATGTAGATACTCCATAGCCATGTGTGTTGCTCTTGTCCATAGGAGGTGGAGTTGAGCTCTCCTGCCCAAGGGCCACCCATGCCACTGAGCCTACAGCAGTCAGGCAGCTGGAAGGTGAGATGTTGGAACCATCAGGCTTCTTACCATGGACTTGGAGACTTTGAATGACTGTGTGTGCTGGACTCTTCATGGAAAAACAGTGTTCCTGCCTTCAAGCAGGAGTGGTGGCTATTTATCCTGTAGAACTCTGTGTTACAGATGAAGACCA